TCGAAGATGGAGGCAGTTGAACGTGTTTATGCGCTGGAGGAAGGAATCTCTGTCAGGTGGAAGAGCTGATATGATTTCATTGCCCAGGTGAAAGGGTCTAAGAAGACCGTGAGTTCAGGCTGTGGAAGGACCTCGATCACCTGGCGTCGGTTCTTGCTTCATACAGCTCAGTGTCAAGCTGAGACAAGCAGGGACAGGTGAGCTATACTCTGCCCCCGCCGCTGGCGGACGTCACCGCTCGAAGCTCAGCTCCTGCTCTGAAGAGGTCAGCACAGCCCTCAGGGCTGATGCAGAAGAAAAAGCCCATCTTCGCTCTCGAAGCGCTTCCCCTAAATAACCTCTAACCCAGATGGCGCCTTGCACATGGAGCTCCATCCAGCATTCCCCGCACGCCAGGCTGTTCTTCCCAGCCATGCAGGTTCGTGCTTCCAACAGTCATTCCTGCCTTCTCTCTGCCAGAACAGCTGCGCCGCGACTGCTGCCAGCTCTGTCTATTGGAGTAAATGCATTTTCAGGCCTCATCAGCTCACTGGGAAACAATGAAAGAATGTTGGTCAAAATAACAGCAGTCTCTGGCCTGTAGCCCCCACCAGCAGAATTTCTGGCATACAAAAATAAGTTCTCCTTCCTCTCCAATTTTCCTTTCCAGCAGCAGGAACTGGGTTTTCACACATCCTCCCACAGCCAAGAGTGGAATCGGAAGTCACAGCACAAAAACTGTCCTCGCTGCTGTTTCGGGAGTTTGTCACCATCTGGAGAGGCCCTTCTCTGTCACCATTGGGATTGGCCTTACCACATCAAGGCCCCAGGCTGCTCTGCTGAGCCTTGAGGAGGACCCTCCCAAAGCATTTCAGCTTTTCTGTGTGGCCATAAACAAGGCTGCTTTGGTTACTCAGAACCTTAAACAACCTCTGCGTTGCAATTTTTTTGACTCTTTCCATTTGGGAGCCCTCTTTCTGTTAGACCTCGGACCAATTCGACTTAGAACTATGTCCAGAGACAATTTTTATGATACTGTATGGAATCACTCCCTCAATTTTTCTCCTCTCCAGTACTCAGCACGGTACCAAGACTAAGCTGATGCATCCCAACTGCTCTTCTCACCTCCCATATCCTCTATGAGAGGGTTAGAAGCAGCCTACTCATGACATACCCCGTCGTACCTATGATCCCACACCCTCCCTCCCATGCTTTAGCATGTCTGGAATTCCCCAATGGGTGCATCTCTCAGAGATTCTCATTCAAGACTGGCATTGAGAGCACCTTCAGAACCTTTGAATTTAGCTCTTCACTGTGCTGTCTTCCCCACTACAGAGGGTGAGCCTCTCTCTGATTCTCTGATGTCAATAGAAAAGGGGAGAAGGCTCAGAAAGGCCAGTCACGTTCCAGTTCTTCAAGTGAGCAGGAATTCTGCCATCTGCAAGCCATGGTTTGCCTTTTAGCTTCTGAGTGATAGTCCAGGAGTGGATTTTCATCGAAAGCACTGCTCAGCTGAGGAGCAGACTCCTCTGCGAATAAATCACCTGGCTCTGCGTTCAGCAGTCTGCTGGTTTAAGTTAGGCAGGCAGGACGGTTTATTGTCAGGCTGGAATAGGAGCTGTGGGGAGGCAAGACAGACACACACTGGTCTCACTTGCTCTTCAGAATCTCAGAAACTAAGATCACTTTTGGCTACCCTCAATTTTTGAGAATTTATGTCAGTTCTCCAGTCAGGAGGTAGTTTAGTGACATAGGAAGAATGTCACCATGGATATTTAAATCAATTTTGCTTGTACCTTCAGAAGTTTTTGATATGAGTCATTTTCTAAAAGTTATAAATAATGGTTAGTCTTGGAAAGTAAATGTAGTTGCCACGATTTTTAGAAAAATGTAGAAAGCAATCTAAAATGTTATATTTTACAGCCCAATTTTTCCTGTAGTACTCATGTCTTATATAGAACAGCTTTTTTTTTTTTAAATGAAGACATCCTATTGACTCTCTTTGTTTTTCAGTTTCCTTACAATATGAGATAATGGAAATTGTTCATATATGGTAGCTAAAACTCCTTTGAGGTTCAAATAAAAATAATGGAAAGAAATATACAAAATAGTAATGGTGAAGTATTATGGGTAGAAGAAAACTCATGAGTAGCAGGAATCACACAGATCTGGGTTAGAACTAGTCACACCACCTGCTATTTATAGGACCATGAACTATGCTTTTTTTGCTTTTTTTTTTTTTTTTTTTTTTTTTTTTCCCCCCGAGATGGAGTCTTTCGCTTGTTGCCCAGGCTGGAGTATAATGGTGGGATCTCGGCTCACTGCAACCTCCACCCCCACAGGTTCAAGTGATTCTCCTGCCTCAGACTCCCGAGTGGCTGGGATTACAGGCATGTACCACCATGCCCGGCTAATGTTGTATTTTTTAGTAGAGACAGGGTTTGACCATGTTGGTCAGGCTGGTCTTGTGTCTGGAATTGGTTCCTTCCAGTGGATTCTTGGTCTGGCTGACTTCAGGAGTGAAGCCGCAGACCCTTGCAGTGAATGTTACAGCTCATAAAGGTAGTGTAGACCCAAACTGAGCAGCAGCAAGATTTATTGTGGAAAGAGAAAGAACAAAACTTCCACAGTGTGGAAGGGGAACCTAGCAGGTTGCTGCTGCTGGCGCAGGTGGCCAGTTTTTATTCCCTTATTTGACCCCACCCACATCCTGCTGATGGTTCATTTTACAGAGCACTGATTGGTCTGTTTTTACAGAGTGCTGATTGGTGCGTTTACAAACCTTTAGCTAGACAGAGCACTGATTGGTGTGTTTACAATCCTTTAGCTAGACAGAAAAGTTCTCCAAGTCCCCACCCGACCCAGAAGCCCAGCTAGCTTCACCTCTCAGTCTCAAACTCCTGACCTCAGATGATCCGCCCACCTTGGCCTCCCAAAGTGCTAAGATTACAGGCATGAGCCACCATGCCTGGCTAAACTATGCTTCTTTAACCTTATAATCCTCAGTTTCTTATCAGTGAAATGGGAATAAAAATACCTACTTCTCATAAGATGCTTGTGAGGATTAAATGAAAAACACATCTAGCATTAGCCCAGGTCATAATAGATGTTCAATAATATCTGTTATCCTTTTCCCCTTTTTGCTAGGGTGATAGATTCATGGATGTGTTTTTGTCCTATTAGCCAAACCACCTTTATTAGTGTATTATCTCAAAAATTTAAATATTAAAGATTAAATCATGTCATATATCTGGTTATTTTCCTAACCTCATTATTCTAACTAAAAGCAATTAAGAACAGGAGGAAAGGAAAAATGTGTTTAAAAAGTAATGGTGTTAGCTATTCCTTATTCCAAGTGCTGAGCGATTGTAATACTGTTACCAATGTAGCATAAGAATTTTACAAAGGGTGTCTTTCCAAATAAGAAGAAGAATAGCTATTTATTACAATGTATAACTTTGCCAGATACAAGGCTGAGTGTTTTTATGCATAATCTCATTTAGTCCTCACAAGTCCTCTATGAGGTACGTATTATGAGCATTTGTCATTTTATAGATGGGGAAATTAATGACAAGAGCTTTTAAGTAACCTTCCTTCTATGATTCAGGTGCTAGGTGGTGGTGGTAGAATCCAAGCATGAGTCTATTTATTCCAAACCTGTGAGCGTCGACCACCAAATGGTACATCATTTCCATCTTTAGTATGTTACATTTCATTAGAACTTGAGCTAATGCAGTTTAACCTCCATCTGCTATTCTGAACACTTCCTAGCACCTGTACAAGCACAGCCCAAATAGCTACATGTGAGAGGAGAGAGAGCACTGGCCTGGGGATCAGCTCTGTGGCTTCTAACCCTGCCTCTGCAGCTTGTTAGCTGTCCATCTTTTGCCCATGACTTCCCCTCTCTGAGGCTACATTTCTTTACCTGTAAACTGGCAGTTAAGGTTCCTTCTCTGCTTACTTGGAAAAGAGGTGAGTAGTTACAAAGACTGTCCATGTCCTCCAGCCAAAACCACCGGGAACACACCTACATGTTGAACAAGTTGGATGTATTACTCATTACAGTGAGAAAGAATGTCACCATAGGGGACTGTGGAGCATTGCAGTATGACAGTGTGAAAAGGAAGTATAGTATTATAGGATGTGGGCTCTGGTTGAGAGATTTTGGGGAGGGTCTAATGAAGCAAAAGTTCACTCTGGATTGTTAGGGACAATTCTATGATTGAATATCTTAATAAATCTTATGTATAGAGAGGACAGACTAGATGAGACTAAAGCGATCGTGAGTAAAGAAGTAGCTGTCATTCATATTAGCCAGGAGAGGGGGTCATGTGGTATTTTGTGGCTTTTACAAGGACAGTGTTTTTGTTTGTGCTTAGACAAAGTTTTGAAGGGACACTGTTTCATCTCACTTCATCGTGGTCACAGAATGAGCATGTGTTAATGTTCTGTGAGATGGTGCCTAACAGAACAGCATCGCCTTGCTGTGAGCTCCCAGCCAGCTTCTAACAACATCGAGGCCTAGGGGACAGAGTAAGGCCAGCTCCTGGATATCAGGGCTACTTTTCTGTTCCTCAAGACCAAACGAGACAATGTAAGCAAAAGAAGCAAAAGAAGCAAAAGAAGGTTTTGTCAACTGCAAAACATCGTACAAATTTTAAAAAACTGATACTTATGTATATATAATTTATATATGATATATATATTTTTAGATATATATAATATATATATTTTTAGATATATATAATATATATTATATATATTTTTAGATATTTTTAGATATATATAATATATATAATATATCAAGGCTGAATGCTGGAGTTTTTGGTTGGCATTAAAATTAGAAAGATCATCTTTCACCTTTTTCAACAGAAAATTAAGTAGGTGTTTCCTGCAAATTTGGGGTAACTGGGAATATTCACTTCTCTCAAGAAACAAGACAAGTGCTGCCCTTGAGGGCTCAGGGGCGAGCAGAAGCACCTTCCTCACTCTACCTTGCTTCTGTCGTTATCTACCTCTAGGTCGGACTCATCTCAGGTACAGTCTTTGTGATCCTCGGATTGACTGTTCTGGCAGTGGGCTTTCTTGTGCCCCCCAAAATCGAAGCATTTGGCGAAGCCGATTTTGTGGTGGTCGACACACATGCTGTCCGGTTTAACAGTGCTCTGGACATGTACAAGTTGGCAGGAGCTGTTCTCTTCTGCATTGGAGGCACGTCCATGGCAGGGTGCCTGCTGATGTCAGTGTTTGTAAACAGCTACTCCAAAGAAGAAAAATTCCTCCAGCAGAAGTTTAAAGAACGAATCGCAGACATCAAAGTCCACACCCAACCGGTTACAAAAGCTCCAGGGCCAGGGGAAACAAAGATTCCAGTCACTTTGTCCAGGGTTCAAAATGTCCAGCCTCTATCGGCAACCTGAAACCTTTCCCACCCCAGTTCTTCTTGTCTGATTTATGCCCATGGTTAAAAGGAGCAGGCCAGTTTTCAAGATAAAGAAGATTTGGCGTTGACTGCCCCAGAGCTGTGTTCAGCTCTGGGCAGCATAGTGGGTGGACTCACACTTGCTCGGTTCAGGCAGCTCTGCTGGAGGTCGGTGCCATGCCTAAGCCTGTGCACATGCATCCAGCTGCTTAAGATGGGTGCTTCCTTGTGCTTGGTCACCAGAAGTTCCCCGGGACTCTCTTTCATAGATCGTGACTTTGTGTTATTTTCCGTGTTATTCGAAATCGCCGACGAGTTTAGACCAGCTCACCAACAGTTAATGTGGTCCATTTTATTTTCTAATATTGGTTTATCTAATCTTTTCTGCGTGGTGCTGTCTTCCATTCCTGTCTCACTATGTGTAAGATTTTGTCATGTATGTTCACAGAAACATGGAATTCTCTGATTTTGATCTGAACATGAGTTTTTTAACCGTATTTTGACATGAGGTTCCTGACATTGGATACAAAGTTATCAGCATTCACAAATCTTTTGGTTTTCTCTATTTTTTTGTCCTTTGAGATGAAGTGCTGTTCTTTTGCCCAGGTTGGAGTACAGTGGTGAAATCATAGCGCACTGCAGCCTTGAACTCCTGGGCTCAAGCAATCCTCCCACCTGAGCCTCCCAAGTAGCTGGGACTACAGGCGCCTGTCACCACCCCCAGCTAATATTTTTTTTTAATTTTTTAGAGGCAGGATCTTGCTATCCAATTTTTTAAAAAAACTAAAATTGCCAACTTTAGAATCTTGACAAAAAACATTAATTTTAGGAGAGTCTACTTATGCAGTGTTCAAAAGTACTGAATTAGAAACCAGGAAATTTTAGTTCCTTCTACCTGTGTGATCTTGGGGAAATTATTTAACCTCTCACTCCTAATTTTCCCCTTCTGTATAATGGGAGTCCTGGATCACAATATGTCTGGGCTCTTATTACCCAAACATCTGAGATTCCATTTTTGCCATGTGTCATCGAGTCTCTCCCCAACAGATGTTTGTGATGCTTTCGTGGCTCTCCCCATGGTGGGCTTCTTTCAGAATTAGACTCCTGGTAAGTCACTGAGTCAGCAGCCTTCACACTATCTACCCTTAAATATCCAACCCCAGCAATTTATACAATGCTGTCATATTTTTATAAAAACAAAAGTAAGCCATCCTCATATAAGGAACTCCTTGGTAAATATTAACCTTAAAAACGGTTTTCGTACTCAAACAAGATGCTTTGTTCTCCAGCAAGATATTCATCTCATCCCTTGCACTTTTGTTTAATTTGTGGATTCAGATTAGACTGAGGAAAATGGAAAATATGACCTTGGTATTTTCTTAAAGTTGTGCCACCTTAGGGCCCTTTTTTTTTTTTTTTTCCTTCACTGGATAAATAAAATATGTGAACGAGCGGAACCTGAATTGCATTGTCATTCCTTCAGTGTGGTTATTTTCTCTCCAACATGTAATTTTCCATTCTGAGACTGAATAAGCTCTGATGTTTCCCCGGCTAAATGGAAGAATAAATGAAGCAATTAGTACTCTTTGTGCACAGTGTTTATTTTGCACAGTCCAGCATAAAACACAGGGCAAATCAGTATCCTCAGCAAGGACCATTGGCCAGATTTTGGAGAAATCATTCCAGTTTCCTCAGGTTCTCTATCTTCCTGTGGAAATGCCATTTTAATTTTATTCTTTAAAGACTTATGCAAACCCCCAAGCATCTGTTCAAGGCAACATTGTTTGAAGCTTTCCATGCTTGCTTCTGTCTTGCGTACCAATGAATCTCTGAGGATGAGACTTGACTTGTAAAAGCCTCCAGAATGAAAGCTTATGGCTGGTGGGAACTTCTAGGTACAGACATAATAGCAACTATTTAAAAAGCAGCTCTATTCCTCAGATGAAGGCCTGAAAGAAGCTGAGGTAGATAAAGTAGGAGCTGGGTCTGAAAGAGCAATTCAGCATGCCCTGTCTTTCCTGTTCAGCCCAGGCTTTGTGGAAGTGGGTACTTGTAAGGACCCTCCCAGCCCATGAGGCAAGGATTGGGAGTTATTGTGGTAGAGCAGAGAAAGGTGGCTGAATCGGATTAGGTAATACAGTTTGATCTTTGGAAAGAACACAGGCTGTATACAATCAGAGGCTGGGAAGCAGTGGACTACGCATTTTTTAAAGATATTTTCTGGCATGGGTTGGGCAGACATCTCAACTGTATGGCAAACGAGAATGGCCTTAGAACCTTGATCCCAGCCTCCTTGCTTGCATTAAACCAGTCCGTCCCTTCAGTATTGAAACTTCTAAAACAAAGGGAAACCACATACCTATAGTGCTGAGATGGCAACTGGAGAAACTTAGAAATGGGTTCGGGCCCAGAGGTCCGGTGCTCACAGGCACTTGGATTGACAGAAACCTTAGCTAATATGAGCTCACCTCAGACAGACATTTCCTCACCCCTTTGTCAACACTCATCAGCGTTTGCTTAGGCACTTCCGGTGATCCCACGCCTACTGTCCCACAAGTGAGCTGCTACATCTGATAATGGCTCCGTACGGGTAGAAAACCCATCCGCATGTCTTTCCAAACTCTGCCTTGCTAAACCTTCCACACATTGGATAAGATTTCATAATTCAAAGTTACCTTGAAGTCTAATCCTCTTACATATGACCAATGAGCTCTTGCTTTCAATCTTATCACCTCCCTGTTTGTCTTCTTCAGAGAAATATTTCTATAAGTTCTTAATGTTCCCAACTTAGCTCATGCCACCTATTAAAAGGGGTCCCCAGAGGTTTTAGAAATTATATATGTTAGAGATTCCCTAACTCCATTAATAGTGTTACTATGTGAACAGGACCTCAGCCAGAATACAATGACAGAGGGCTGTGTAAGCAGCTCCTTCACGGGCTCTCGAGGCCTCCTGGGATCTGTCCAGCTCCTTTCTGGTTTTATTATGGTTTTATTCTAGTCATATGCAAACACTCTCCCCTCTCTAAATGTGCCTGCACTTTCATGCTCCTATGCCTTCACTCACAATGCTTATTTTCCCGAGAATAACCATCTGCCTATTCTCTGGTTATGAACTCAATATTCAAGGCCACATCAAGAAATAAAAGCAGTAATAATAATAACTAACATACATTGTGTGGGAGGTATCATTAAAGCCTTTTATATGTATCAATTCATTTAATTTTCAAAAAACCCTATGAGGTCAGGACTAATATCATACACCCATTTTACAGGAAAGGAAATAGGCAAAGAGAGGATAACTCATCCAAGAATAATCAGTAACTGACATACACAAGATGTGAATTCAAGCAGCCTGACTCCAGAGGCTGTACGCTCTGCCAATATGCCAATATGTTCTTCTGTCTCTAGAAATGCCACCTTTTCTCTGCAGCTTCTTCTTGATCTCTCTCTCTCTCTCACCCTTTCTCACTCACACACACACACACACACACTCTCACACACTCACACACACACACACTCACACACACACACTCAGACTTAATGTCTCTTCCTCAATAAACTCAGCACTTCGTAGAAACACATTCTATCCCACTTATCTCTATTATAGTGATTTGTTTACACATCTGTTCCTTCCATTAGAAGATGACTACTAGCTGCTTGGGTACAGAGAACATATCTTAATAAGTGGTGAACCCTCAGAAGCAAATACATAAAACCTATGTGATACTATTATATGGTTATTTAAAACAATTATTGCATTTTTATTCAGAGCCAAGCAATGTGCTGGCACTATAAAGGGGATGATGAATAGGGGCACTAATGTTTTTGCATATCGTGTGTGTATGTGTGTGTGTGTGTGTGTGTGTGTGTAAGACAAAAAAGGATTTTCTAGGGAGGACTAAGTTTGGAGTATGAATATGGGTTCCCCAAAGCAAAGCTTCCCTCAATATAACATTTGAGTGGGAGAAATCCAGTCTGATGACTAGCTCACCATTTCTATATCTAAGAGCAAAATCTTCCAGCCAATGAGTCTAGCCCACTGACACAGAGCTGCCAGTCATACTTCTCATTCCAGCAAGAGACTGAGGGAACAGCTAAACCCACCTAGTCAAGAGCAGAGTGAATTGTTTCCAGCAGTCCTGAATAAACAACCTGGTCTTTCATCCTTACATATGAAAGTACAACCTGAGTCATCAGACATCTGAGGACATACACAGGGAATAACAGACTCAGTGGGAAACATAAGGACTTCAGAAATCACAGAACTCTAAAAAGAATCTAATCAGTCTTCAAGAAGAAATTAAAGCCATAGGATAAAAATAGAATACTATGAAAAAGAACATCAAGTAGTTCAAAATAACAAATAACTAAAAGAATAAGTTGAAAGCATTTCCTGGAAAGTAAAATAATTCCTCATTTTAAAAACGAAATTTAAAAAATTTTTTAAATGAAAAATATGAGACAATTGGTAAAGACATACAAATTCAATCAAGGAGAAAAATATAGCAGAAAACAATAATAGGGAAGAAGTTATCGATAAAATAACAGAAAAAAAATTTCCAAAGCTATAGGATACAAAAATCTTCAGACTGAAAATGCCTGCCAAAGACTGGGTGCGGTGGCTCACACCTGTAATCCCAGCACTTTGGGAGGCTGAGGTGGGCATATTACTTGAGGTCAGGAGTTCGAGACCAGCCTGGCCAACACGGTGAAACCCCGGAGTGGAGGTTGCAGTGAGCAGAGTTCGCCCCACTACACTCCAACCTGGTTGACAGAGTGATACTCCATCAGAGAGAGAGAGAGAGAGAGAGAGAGAGAGAGAGAGAGAGAGAGAGAGGAAAGAAAGAAAGAAAGAAAGAAAGAAAGAAAGAAAGAAAGAAAGAGAAAGAAGGATGCCTGCTGCATATTCAACAATATGCATGGTTAAAACAAAAAGTCAGGTATGTTTTTTGTGAAATTTTTGGACACAGAAGATAAAAGGATCCAAGAAGCATCCCAGAGAACAGCAGCCCGCCTACGAAATGAGAAAAGTCATACTCGGGAAAGAGCAGGTATGATCTCTGCAAAAGATAGTAAGGAAGGTAACTGAGTCTACAGAAAATACATGTTCCTCTTATTGAGAAGACAAGAGCAAAGCAATAGAAACTCTAGGAAGAAATTTTTTTAATAAACTGCACAAAGAAATGATGGTTGTAACATGAAGGGGAATAATTGATAGAGCATAAGAAAAGTGAAGCCACTGGAAACTTGACCTTCCCACTAGACACACATTCTATTTCTGTAGAACAAAAACTGGGATTATTGAACCCACAGAGAAAAAGACCAGAATCTTCTCACCTCAATAGTTTTGCAGTGACGATCATTACAAAGTCAAACTAATGCAAGCTCTTCTTACTTGTTTTCAACTTTCAGAATCAAACTATAGCCAAAGGTCTAAATTATGACTATAAAATGGACTGCATGTGTGATAAATCTGATGATGTGAAAATGAAGGTAGTGCTAGCAAAATTCAGAAAGCAAAAAAAAAAAAAAAAAAAAATAAGAGGAGATAAAAGTAGGGACACTAATAGCCTCATCTGGTTTAGTCAAGAGTCAGGAATAACAGTCTTAGTCTCTTTGGGCTGCAATAACAAAATACCATAGACTGGGTGGCTTATGAACAACCGGCATTTGTTTCTCACAGTTCTGGAGGCTAGGAAATCACTTGGTGGAACGGGGGACATCTGGTTTCTTTAGCCTCCTATAAGGGCACAAATCTCATTCATAAGGGCTCCACCCCCATGCCCCAGTCACCTCCCAAAGGCCTCGCCTCCTAATACTATCACAGTAGGGGTTAGGTCTCAACACGTGAATTTTGTGGATATACAATCAATCAGTCTGTAGCAGTAGCTGGCTAAAGTTTATAAAAATAAATAACGACTTAAGTTTATAATTTACAACTGTAAAGATAACTCAGTGAAAGAATTAAAAATAAAACATAACAAACAATGGAAAGAGAAGAGAATAAAATGAGAGGCAGAGAAAGTAAATTTAACCCTTCATCTTTAATTGTAAGAAATCAGGCTGGGCACAGTGGCTCACACCTATAATCCCCACACTTTGGAAGGTTGAGGCAGGTTTATCACTTGAGCTCAAGAGTTTGAGGACAGCGTGGGCAATATGGAAAAATCCTATCTCTACTTAAAAAACAAAATACAAAAATTAGCTGGGTGTGGTGGTACATGCCTGTGGTTCCAGCTACTTGGGAGGCTGAGGCAGGAGGATCGCTTGAGCCAGGTCAAGGCTGCAGTGAGCTGAGGTCGCACCAATGCACTCCAGCCTGGATGACAGAGCCAGACCCTGTCTCAAAAAAAAAAGATAAATTATTATTATCTCCATTAATAAATCAAGAAATAGTAAATATAGTATTTAAAGTTATGGAAGAAGCCACTAGAAGTTCAATTTCAAACAGTAAATGTTAAAGGAGATTGCCTTTGGGGGCTGGAGGAAGCCAGGGGTAAGGCAAGATGATTTTTACTCACATAACGAAGACAAGACCGTCCTAGTCACAGCCCTGGTCCCTGTAGTTCTTACACTGACT